CGTACGTACGTACGTACGTACTCTCTCTCTCTCTCTCTCTCTCTCTCTCTCTCTCTCTCTCTCTCTCTCTCTCTCTCTCTCTCTCTCTCTCGAGAAGAGAAAAAACCTTGTTATCCGCAGCGTGATCTTTTTTTTTCTTCCAGAAGATGCGGTGGTTGATTACATTAGCGTAAGACCGGAGGCCTAAGCTGGTATGAAAACGTGATGGACGATAGGAATTATGAGAAGACAACAAGCGGCCCATTGTAAGCCGCTCGCCGTTTCCCTGTGCGCGCCCTTGCGCGCGTAGATACCTGCCCTACCTATTACCACATAAAGGCCGAAAGAATTTCTCGCGGAAGCGAGACGAGTCGAGGCGGAGCGCGAGGCGTCGCCGGTGCTGCTGAGCAAACAAATTTAATGCGCGTGCATAACGACACCAATTTAAATGATAATGCGCGGTGTGTGTGCTTTCAAGATTAACTCGTAATAGGCCGGAATAAATGTCGGCGGACCTGTTAGAGATGTATCTAGCCGTCCGTTACACGGCAACGGTGGGTGCTAACTACTCCTGTAGACAAGCTTGTTTATATTGGTACGTCGCGTCGCGCGGCACGGAGATCCACGCGTAAATTTGTATGTAACGCATCCAGCGTTAGTGCCAAAGAAAATTGGGTCGTCGCGAATCACGGGTCCGCACGCCGAGTCCCTGAACGTCGTTATTAAACGCGACCGCGATGAATTATCATCGGGCGAGCATCGCGCGAGCAGCGCAACCCGCAATTATCTGACCGGTTATTAAATTTAACCGATGGTATTTAATTATCGTCGAACGAGGTGTTGCCCTGCGCATTAGCTCTATGCTATAATTTATGCGATCGTGTATAGAGTGTTCAATAGGCGATGGTCTCGAAGTACCGTGGGAGACGCGCTACCCGAATGCGCCTTTTCGCGAACGATCGCTGAAGCTTATCGACGATTTTCCCATGTTACGCGCGTAAACACGAGAGCGTAATAACGGAGAAAAAAAATCATGCGGGGGAGTAATAATTCTCGATGCATTCACCGGTACACAGATAAATTCCGACGGTAATGAGCGAGCTTATCTCACGAACGCTTATCGACTGGCACTCTTGCCCAAGTGGATTTGCCTAATTAAAGGGACAAGATGTAAACGATTTTATTTCCATCACGGCTCGCGCTATCTGCGTATCTGCCGACCACTTGGAACGAATAAATGGGTTTCCCCCGTATCTGTCCCTCTTCTTCTCTCCCTATCTCCTCACTGAACCCGAGAGACGCACTTAAACCACCGCGACCAGGTGCACCTGTCAAGTACTCTATGCCGTTAGTTTGATTAATGACAGAAATATCTCTTGAATAAACAACGGGACGCGTTTAAACTCGCTGAACAGATTGACAGTATACTTGGAAGCAGCAGATAACCCGCGACTCTTGGCAATTGCTCGATGAAAATGATACGTCTGTTCGTAGTTAATTTTCATTGATATAATATTAACATTTGAAATTTAAACTGTTAAAAGGATTTAAAAAATTTTACTAACACATAGTTTTGTATTAATGGACACATCAAGACGGTTTTTTCATTTTCCAAATTTTTTGACGATTTAGACGATTGTGTCAATATTAATATTAAAATCACGACTTTGCTAAATTAAGTTACTTCAAAGAAACATTAAAAATACATTGTACAGAAACTAATTAAAGGAAATAATCAACATCGATCAAGAGTCGACGAGTCTTTGGAAGTAAGCTGCACGAGGTAAGTTTGCCTGCGGAGGTGTCTTGTCGAGATTGTCGCGAATAGAATCATGCAAGCTGTGCCCTCGCTCCTCCTCACCTCGCCTCGCCGCGCCGTTGTGAACCTCTTTGCATATACATTCTGTAAGATTACTTTGTGCGGTTTACACCCAGCCCCTCCCGTCCCCGCGGCCGTCCTTCAGCAGCACGCTGCGCTTCAAGCCCTCGCCTCCTTTCGTTGCTGAGAGGCAAACTACCCTCCAAGTTTCACCCAAGGTCCCTAATGTATGCGGAACTATACGGCAGAAATTCCAAGTTCGGCATGGCCGTGTTAGGCGCCTTTACGATGAGTTTCCACCCTCGCGTTCTCTCTTTCCAGGCGCCGCGCTGCGCTGCACGGGAAGGGACGAGGCTCGCCCGACAAGACTCGCCTCCCCCGTATAAGAGGCGAACACGCGTGATCCTAATTAGAACGCGTCCTCGAGGTGCCGAAGTAAAAGCGAGCTTCTTGTTAGGCGTCTCGGCGAAGGCGCCGTCGGCGTTTTCGCGCGCACATACACGCGGGCGTATAAGCGAGATGCACTTTCGAGGTGCGCTCTTGTAAAAGAACTCTTACTTCCCTACTTCGTGCCAACATTTCGCAAATGAACAGTACTGAAATCTTAATTTCCGTGACAATTGACGGTAATTCGTGAGAGCGCTCGATTTTACAGCCGACAAAATAAGCGGAATGCACGTTGTGCGATAGCGTCGAAACCGTATACAGACGTATAACTCATTGTTATTCTCGTGTCATAGAATCGTTTTCACACAAACTAAGAAGCTGAGGTAATCGCGAGAATTCTCACGGGAAGGTATGACAGGTAAAGCACCTCGCCACCCGCGTTTGTATTTACATAGAAAAGAAGCTATCTTCGCTGTCGGAAAAACATAATGCCTACAAATGGCCGCATTAGTCGTATGTTACATTGGTGTAATACATTATGTTTCAGTGATTAGATGAGTTTGAGAAAGCTTTTTGTCGAATACTAAAGATAAAACAGGAATGAAGCGTGTGCGATATAAATGGATTTTTCGTCAAAATAAAATAGCTAAAATATAAGTATTTGCAAAGGACTTTTAATCAATTATGACAATATTCTAATTCATTACTCAATTAAATAAGTAGAAAACTGTTCTAGCAAGTCTAATTAATTTATTATAATTAATTTAAAGTTATTATATCAACTTCGCACGAAATATATCTGTCATTCAAACATCGTTGCGTCTAATCTCTTTACTACGGCTACGCTTTCCTGTAATAAGCCTTTATCGAACCCGTCGTGCATTCGGTGACTCATAATCAGCCGTTCGAGGAAAATATGATGAAAAACTACGTGAAATGTGTTGATGCGGCAATTGGCCGGCGAACAGCGCGGCACGCGACACCGCACTAGACAAAACAGTCATTAAAGATGCAAAGGGCGGAATGGCGCGACCACATTGCATGATAATTACTGTAAAGAAAGCCCGACTAGGCGGTGACTCTACACCCACGGGCTTCCCAAGAGATTACAGGATGTCCGGAGGCGAGAAGGATTCTCCCCGCATGGCCCGAAAACCCTTTCCGCGCTTACAAGCAATAAAAATTAACGGCCTGGTCCGGTCAAACCGTATATGAAAGGCGGCCCGCCAGGACCGGCCGTGGCGTGTGAGTAATACATAATTATCACGGGCCATTCAATGTGTACGCGCGGCAATAAACAGTTCTCTATTGTAACGAAAGAGTCGTATAAAAAAATGTGTCAAAATCTTTCGGTGTTAACATTTTGTTCAAATTACCATTCGCGAAAGAGAAATGAATCCACAAGCAGAGTACAATAAACAAAAAAATGTTAATACTATTTCGTATTCAAAAATAGACAAGTATTTGGTATGAGCGTAAGATGAAGAATTCCTTGAAGAATTTTAAACGAATGACGCCGCAGCCACGCGCGAGCAGCAAGCCGAGAGCACGATCCGGCCATAATCGGCCGAAGGAAGCGTGGAACGGCCGCTTCCTTCCTCCTTCGCGGAGTCGGCGTCTTTCATCGTGAAACCCGGTAAACATATCGAAATTACGATGGAGGATCGGCCGCGTAAAAGATGACCGGCACATCCTGCCTTGTCCGAGACTTTCTTGGTCACGGCGGAAAGAAGCTTGTCCCCCGCTCCTCTTCCGAGATCTTGCAACCCCCTCCCCCTCCTCTACTTTTAATTTTCAGGCGCGGCTAATTATGATTTACGGCAACATCGACACAACATCCTGATCGCTGCGCGAGATACCGCCCGCAGGATATTCAAATGCGATGAATATTGCTCGCCGCGATAAACGGCGCGCGGACGACGAGAGAAACGGAGAAAAGGAGGCCGGGAGGGCCGTGGAAGGGAGCGAGAGAAGGAGAGAACCATCGCGAGAGCGCGTGTAAAGGATACGAAGAAAGGATTCCTAGTAGCCTACTCGGTATGCAAGATAGGCAGTCAGCCCTTGTACACACCGCATCCTCCTCCCTCCCGCCCTCCGAAGGATGTATAGACGATCCTCGCGCGTGGATCGTTCCGTGCCGAATCGCTCGTCCGGAGTATTTAAAGCTCGGCGGGATAATTCAATACGGGACCTGAACCCTTTGTGTCCCCGCGTGTGTTTGGAAAACATAAGCGGCCGACGGTGTCACAACACGGCAATCTCCGTGATTTAACTCTCGCGAAGAACTCGTGGTGTAACGACCGCGCCTTCGAGACGGTATATAATCGATACTGAAAATGCACGCTCGAGTGTAATAGACCTTAATATCTTTCTTTAACTTCGAGATCACGTTTTTTTAGTGATTTGAAAATTATATTAATTATTTTTATGTTTAAATTAATTTTGTTAGATTACTTTACTAAAATTATATTATTTTGTTGCAAAAATTATTTATTTATATCAAGTAAAATTTTTAAAATATTCTCCCAGTTTCTTTTGAAGTTAACTTTTCAGCTTAGGTCTATATCACTTTATCGCTTCAATTGTATAAAAATGTAAAGGATCACTTACCTTATCCGCTCGTTTTCTAACGGGAGTGGTCGGGTCGGTAGGCCTGGCGTGAAGATCGGTTTCGCTGGCCATTCGATTGAAGCGTTGCATCCTCTCGCGAACGCTGAGCTGTTCGGCTGAGGCGTGATTCGCCGTCATCGTCGCTTCATCTTCCTGCAATTTAACAGTTCGATAGCCGAATTTAACGGATTAGTTTACAACATCGGTTACAACTAATGTTAAGTAAAAGCATATGGCGCTTGCACTGATTGTACTGTTTCAACTTTAATCAAAAGTTCTCACTCACGTGAGTAAGGTTGTCGGAAAATGTAGCAAGTTTCGATCGTCCGATAGTTTCCGCGACACTTTCTATATATTTTTGCATACATGATGTACTTTTATCGTAAAAATATCAAGTTTATTCCAACTTCTATTTTTGCGACTGAAACAAAACTAATATGCTGCAATGCGTGTATGTTATTGTGTGATCAATTTGAATATTTAAAAAAATATTTAATCTCCAAATTTTAACAAAGTTAAAAAAATAAATTTACATTTATAAATATAAAAAAATTGTATATACAATATAATTTATAAATATGATATAAAAATGTAAGGAAACTTTTTACGAACTAATGATAGGTGACAGAATTATCACAAACAAAAACCTAAATAAAAATATTCTAAATGTAATTAAATCATAAACATATAATCAATAATAATATTATTAAATAATATCAATCACGTAATAAATTCTAAAAAAATATTTGTATAATGCAAATAATATTGCAGTTGTCATTCTAACTCTGTTTAATGATTCTAGGAATTTATCGATGCGATATAATTATTTTACTATGTTAATAAATGATTCAAATACCGCGTATCAGTATGACGCACCATTCTCGCGATAAATGCGTGACGATATCGTTAATAATCGCGAATAATCGCATTTTTTTTCAAGGAAATCATCTTCTGCGTGCAAAAACGATAAACAAAAATTCTACCTTTATGGCAGCCTCTGAAAAACTTCCTCTATTCTTGTCGACGTTTTCCTTGTTTTCCACCTTGAACTTGTCTTGACTTTTGCGACGCGGTGGAACAGGTGGCGATGACATCGACGTGCCGACCTCCGAATTATCATTTCGGCTATCTTCGCGTTCGGAAGTTGGTGTCGTAGGCTCCTCAAAGCTCGTTTGCGAATTACTCGATGACGGGCTGAGAGGTGCAGGGGGTGGTGGCCGATAAGGTGGAGGCTCTCGCAATGGAGAAACTGGAGTAGCTAAATCAGGAGTGGCAAGAGGGGATCCTACTTTTTGAGGAGATGAAAAGTCTAAGAAGGGTTGGCGATATTTCTTCTTCAGAACCAAGAACTTTTCGCCCTGTTAAGGAATGTTCGTTTTGATAACACATCGTACGAGTGATTTGACAGAAGCGACAGATATTTTTACATTCCTAACTTCAAATCTCCGTGAATCGTTGATTTTACTTTATCACATTAATTAACGAACAGACTGACAAAAATAAAATTTCCAAAATTAAGTAAAAATCTACCGTGCACGATTTATTGCTATGTTTTTTTCCAATTTCTTGCAAAGTCTAAATATATACCTGATTTATTTTAAATATAAAAAACATTAAAAATTGTTACATCATACTCGACATTTTAACTGCAATATTAATGTGATAATAAAATTTTATTTTATTTATAGCACTATAAGTGTTTTAACTAGTATTTTAAATAATTATTAATAATATTGAATAACATTATTAAAGATTTATTAACATTATTAAACGATAACACTATTAAAATACATTTGACCGCAATAAATCTGCCGAGAACACTGTGTGTATTTTTGTTTTTCTATTTCTTCAAATATGCTTACTCACTTTTCGTAGATTTAGTTCATAATAGCATACACTTTCGTAATATTGCTCAAAATCTTCACAAAACTCGGTAAATACTGAGGGTCCATAATACTATATTGTTTAACATTGAAATACAGCCGAAAAAAATAAATCTTTAGACTCTGCGATAGTTGCGTTCGTACATCGGAATTTTTCAGCTGATTACGCGCCTTCAGCTGATCGCGAGCAGAGCCGGCAACGTCGCCAAGTGCGCAACAAGTCGCTTCTGTCAAGACGAAAGAGAATCGCGAGAGCCCGTGTAACCTACCTCCTCGTTCTTTATAGTGGCCAAGGTATTGACATACTCCTTGAACCGATTCCTCGCCTCGACTGTAACGCAAAATCGTACATCAAGCTGAATTCCACGGTAACTCGCGTTGCGAGCTGTCATACATGTTTACATCCGTATGCGAACGCGAGGTCACGCCTTGTAGCGAGACAGTCGCGAACACGAGCATCACGCCAGAAATTCAACCCACCTCGCGTCTCCGGATCTGTCAGGAACCGTCTGAAATGCTTCACCAGGTCGTGGTTACGTGCCGTACCTCCGTTTTCCAGTAAATAATTACGGATTTCCTCGAGAGACAACTCACTGGGCATCGCCATCTTGGACTAACTACACGTCAGAGCCACGAACGGCTGTTCACGAAGTGGACTCGGTCTGTCGGTAAAAACGGTTGCTGTTATTATCACCAAGAGCAGAAAAAAATTCGTAATTTATCACAGTTTACTTTTCCCTTTTTCTGTATAACAATATGCATGTAAGCTGTGTAATAATATATAATAATCATGAAATAATTGCTACAATTAAATAATAAAAAATAATGACTACAATTAAATTAATATAAGTAACTCATTGCATGTTTACTTCTAATTATGACTTGCCTGAATATTTTTACTTTATATTTATAGACATATTCTGTTAATTGCATTTTATAATGCATTCTAATGTGTTTATTGAGATCATCGATAAATATACAGAGTGTTATATATATTTAATAGCCGCAAAAGTATCTGTCGATGTTAATTTATTTGAGGAGATATTTTATTCAGTCGTACGCGAACAGACGCTTTTCATAACCATTTAACGCTACGTGAAACGTTATTCCGTAGATTTTTAGTGTTCGAACGATGATTTTGTCCATCGACCGACGTAAATACCGTATTTTAAACGAGCTGGCACATATTAATGAAAGCGATACAACGTCGGAGCGCATTTAACGTTCTCTCGCTGTAAACTCTTTACGATCGGATAGGATCAAAACGCGCGACATGCTTCTTCAAGCGAAACCTTTTTACCAGACGTTCAGGCGAATCGTAATCTGTCCCTGCCACTGTCGGCGCGAGGCACCGTCCGGAACACACGCCTCTATATTTATTCAACGACCAATTAGTAACCGACGCGATAAATTCTGACTTAATTTACGGGCGACCATAATTTTCCTTGTACTTTTATAAAACTGTTTCATAAGAGAGAAAATAAGAGATGTATACATCCGTCAAAGAGACTTTCACATCTTGAGTTTCCATTTAAACGCACAATCATTGATCATGCATATTAATAAAAGAGTGAGCTTAAAAAATAATTTTTTAAAATATACGTTGCACTTTAATTTATATATTTAATTTATAAAGTTGTTTCTGTTATCTGGCTTTATAAATTTTAATATGTACTGTGTTTAAACACATTTTAAATATTACTATGTCCTGTTATTGTATTACGCGCATATATAATATTATGATGTGGCTAACATAAAATTAAAAAATATCGCGATATACTCACTTCCTGTTCCCTCCATCTGAAGGGTTAAAAACTATTACAGCGTACGTTGTGTACACCGAGCTCTCGTTAGCTGTACAATCACGCGTCTGCAGCAGCGGCGGTTCTTATTAACAGTGCCTCATAATTAAGAAAACGACCTTACTAATCACCCTCAATGTGTAGAAATACACGTAAACGCAAGGGGGAAGGAGGAGAGCGAGAGAGTGCTAGAAGGGCGGGTATGCGTGCAACACGCAGAGCTTTGCACGCGTATGTGTATCCGTGGACCGGAAGCGAGGCGGTACCTTTGTAATTAAACCTCCTTTATCGGCGATATTCTAATGAAACGACGAGTAATGATCGAGCGCGGCCTGCATTGGCGCGGCAGCAGTCGCACGAACATCCTTCTGCTTCGACACAAACATCTCCCTGCTTTTGCTTATGAAAGTCTTCTTAAATATTTTTCAAGTCCAAGATTTAAAAAATTTCGAATTATATAAATGTCAAATTTTATGACGCAATGTTTCACTGTTACAAAGCATTCATAAAGTAGAAAATAATTACGTAGTAGACAAATGAGGGAACATCTTTGCTGCTTTCATTCATGAACATTTTTCCTAACCAAAATATTTTTTTAATCCAAATTAAAGAAAAAAAATCTAATTATATTAATATTAAATTTCATGAATTCGATTTATCGGTTATAAAAAATTTATAAAGTAGAAAATAATTACGTAGAGAAATTAAAGAAACATATGTAAACGCAATTTACGAGCTTGAAAGAGTGAAAAACATGTCTTAATGGTAAAAACGAGGCGAAGTTCAACAAAACTGCAACGAATGCAGAGGCAGTATGATTTCTTGTGAAACATGCACGCCCGTAACCTTTTGTCGCGAACTACATGTATAACCCTGGTCTCGCTGGCGGCGCAGTAGCTCGCACACGAGCAGCACTCGACACAATTCCGCAGACACGGTAGGATTGATGCACGAGATTGGAGGCAGGAGGTAGGTATTCCCGCGGACAAAATGCGCGCCGTCGGGGTCGAGGGCCCCGGGGGCGAGGGCCCCGGGGGCGAGGTGACCGGCGAGGAATGAGAGACCGGGAACGAGGACAAAGGATCGCGTCGACGCCCCCCGCGGCCCCGTAGGTCGCACCCTACGGATATCATCTACCCGTGTTCCTCCGCGTTATGCTTATCGCCCGTGCCA